ATCACATTAAGTGAGTGTAGGATAACAGTTCTATAACTAAGAAGTTCCATTTTGCTGTAGTAGAAGAATAATCATTGATAGTTTTGAGACAGGTGCCTCATGCAAAATGCTACATTACATGGACCCACTGCCTACCCATTTGTGGAATGTATAACTATACATCTGTCAGGTACATTGCTCACCTTTTTCTACACACCTGTCACATGCAGTGAGAATAAGCAAAGCAAACCAAACACAGCCCTCGGCTGAGCAGCTGCTCCTCTTCTGTAAATTCCAGTAAGAGCAGATCAAACAGAGGCCACTGTGCACTTTAATCAGCTGGCTCACACATGGAGATTATTTCAACAAGTATCACTATTACATCCAACTCCTGATGTCTGAACAGGATATTAGTAAATGTGAGGGTGACTGACAACCTGCTGTAAGCTATAGAGTCTTAAAGTAGCTGTCAAACATCAATTCTAAACATCTACAGTCATTTGAAGACAGAAACTCTTGACAATGTTCGAACTATTGGATCTGAACATTCTCTGGACTTTGCCTTTTAACATATGAGGAATGCAACAGGAGTTGAATTGATATTTTCATCTGTGTCTCCTACATGTTTGGCACCTCTATTTCATCCTGAGATACTTGTATTCTTTATTTATTTATTTATGCATCCAACACATCATCAACACACTCGCTCGCAGTGAATCCTCTTGATCTGCTGCTATTTACAAGAGGGCTGGCATGAAAAAATGCAGATTGTCCACAGCAACTGACTCAGACAAATGCGTTCTGACATACAGCCTGTCCAGAATGTTTCAGAAAATCATCTGGTCAGTGCAGGTCTGAAACCATCTTTAGAGAGACTCTGCGTGTTGATCTGTCATACTTGTCATGAAGTTAAGAATATTAAGGGTCATTTTGATCCACAAAAGGAGAAATGCTCCATGTGCAAACCTTCATTCTCATTCCACTACCCATTTCCACACCAGATGTGTCACATAAGGAGTTTTAGCTTTGACATTTTTTTATAAAGAAACAACGCCTGCCTTCAAATCATTGACTTGTGGTGTGATCAACATGCTTCAAATATTAAAACTGCGGAGTCCTGCGAAGGTTTTCTCTATTGTATGATTCAACACCTATTTACATGTTTACTGTGGTTTTAGAATCAACTCAGTAAGTTAACCTTTCCATGCCCATCACCCCACCCGTAAATTGTTATTATCGCTGACTGCACCCCCACTCATGCACATTCTCTGCCTTCTTTAATTGTCTTATCTGCATTTCCCTTTTTTGACTTCTTTCCCACTACTCTCTCCCTATATCTTGCTGTGTACCTGCTCAGTGCTCACTGATGGCTCACTTTCTTCACCTCGCTCAGACTTGCTCTGAGCCAAGAGGCCCCTGCCACTAGCAATCCATTAACCACTCCAGTTACATGCCGATACTCAGTCATCATATTCTTCCGTTCACAGTATGCTCCTCTTCCTCTGAGACATAAAGAGCAGGAAACTGTGTGTGCTTAGGTGTGTATGTATTGGGGGAAAAGAAGAGACACATAAATACGAAAGAAACAGGGGCAAAGGAATATCGAAACCAACTTCTCGACTTGACTCAGACTACTTGAGGCAGACTGGGTGACTAAAGAGTCGAGACCTGACTGGCTTAATTCATGGCGTTATCTTAAATGAAGCATTTGCTGAGGTGGTTCCCCCAGGAAGTAGGTGCACCGTTGCACAAACGCATATGCAGTCATGCCAGTGTGGCATGGGTTTCCGCTGAAGCTGTTACACAACTGCATTACCTTTGTGGGGAGGACAAAAAAATCTATTTAGTTATTTATTGCAAAACACGTTCTGTAACATGACACTTGCAACAAAATATGATTTGGATTTGAGCTGTTAAAGTCTAAGAACAAAATTATACCTGATGCATCCAAAGGTTTAAGTTTTTCATATTCACAAATTCAAATTTTTCATGATTTAGAAAAGTCAAAAGAAATCCTTCTCTTACAATTATATATAAACATGACAGCAGTGACCTAACTGGTAGGCTGGGGTTACATGCATGAGCTAGTCAGCATATTATTCCACTCTGCAAATATTGAAAAAGAGAGAGAAATATTGACACTTGCTCTAGGGCTCTCTGAAAAGCATCAACTAGAACAGGTCAATCTTGTACGTCTATATATTAGATTTTTTTACAAGCATTCAGCAAAACCTTTCACCCAGAAAAGAATCTGATAAACTGCCTCAAAAAACTACAAGATGTCCCAGAGCCAGAATCTGTGATCTGCAAAAGTCTGCCTTGTATCCCAAATAACTGTCCATGCAGTGATCCCTAGCTAATCCGCCCTGTGCCTGCCTGCTGAGTTTAGCCGGCATGTTTATGTCAACAGTAATCGTGGATGCAGATCATCTGAGGATAATGCTTCAGGAGGAGCATAGCAAAAACTACAAAATGCCTGAGTCATACTCAGCTGCAGATGTACTTCTAAATGCAAAGAATCATGTCAAGCATGCCTGTTAAACATAACTACAGGTTACCTGAGCTAAAAACGGAGACACACACTGACTCAAGGACGAACCTTTGAAAGTCAACACTCAGTTGATAAGGATGGTTTCAGTTTATATATTTTTCTTTTTGCGTGTGTGTGTGTGGGAGGGTGGGTTATGGACTCAGACCATGGTTGAGCCATAGCTAGATGGAGGCAGCTGACCAATCAGGCTCTGAAATAAAACATAATTCTAAATTTACAGCTCATATTAATTTAATCCACCATCAGTTAGTGAAGTACAGTTAGCACACGTTGTCCTAATTACTATACCCTGCAAATGTCCCTGTTACCCTGAATGTCGCATCAAACCCTTTTAAAATTCTAGCAATTTACTAAAGTGTTGCTTGATGTTCCATGTGAAAAAAGGGACAAATCACCAAATGTTTGCGTTGAACAGACAAAATCCTGCGTACAACCCTAACAGACTCACACAGACTTAAATTAATTTTAAACATTCTGAATGATGATACACTTATTTTGACAAAATAAGAATATAAAAATTGTACTGTCATTAATTATTAATGCTGCAATAAAGCCATCCAATCCATTTGCTTTAATGTCAAACCCTGCTGAAGTCAGTGGTATTATTCAAACAACATACTGTATTTTTTTAAAATCCAGCCAGACTAATCCAAAAAATTGTGACCATGTCTAGGAAAAAAGGTGATGATTAAAACTGGATAACCCACCCACACTGCTTCATTCAGCCCCAGACAACACAACAGATACAGTTTCACACAAGGGGGATATTAGCTTGGAATACCACATAGTAAACTGAGTGGAGATTACATACACAGACACACACGTCACTAAGTCACACATTATCACATTATCACATCATGATATCTCATCCTCTGAATAGAGGCAAAAGCAGTGGGTGATGACGTCATAGATAGTTGACTGATATCACCACACTCCAGATCAAGTACACAGCCACACACATCTCTACACTCCTTTACCTCTCTCTGAACTCTGACTGTGCTGTAGTAAAAATTCTGCCAGAATAGGCTCAAATTTCAGAGTCAGTGTTGTACTTCAGTCAAGGACATGCCTCACTGAGTCAAACACACAGACACACACTCACACTTTCAGGTGACTCTCACTCAAAACCCAGACTTGTGTGTGCATGTGGGATCTCAGTACATTAAAAAAAATTACTTCCTGTCGTTGACTCATGTTTACTTACAGCCCAACCCTAACTTGTGGGTACATTAACGCAGCTGTGGTGTTATCACTTCAGTGTTCCAGTATTTTCAGCTTCTGAGAGGGACCAATAAAAAGTGGGAAAACTAACTCACTAAAACTAAGTGTGCATGAGTGTGTGTGCGTGTGTGTGTGGTGGAGCAGTTTACCAGGCGACCGCATGTCTTCTGAGCATCCTCTATGGTTACCGTTTGTCTGTGTGTGTGTATCAGCTTTCATCAGTTGCTAGACATGGCCAAGTTACACAACAGTTTGCTGTGGCCTGACGACAGACATCTCCACGAGTGACTCCTATGCTACTTTGGTCACACCAAGACACCACACCGAGTCACACATGATGCTGACACGACCAGGTTCACGAAGTGATGTCATCACGACTATGTCATCTTTAAGGCATTCGAGCCCCATACCACAGAATGTTTGCTCATTCATTTGGCACAATTCTACTGATGTTCTTTCAGTTTAAATCATTATCAAAGTATGCACAGTGATCTCTATAAAACAAATGTAATGCAACGATAACTTACTTAACCTGATTAATGTTGAAAGGTTGTTTGAAAATAAAATAGGGCTCTAAAATGATTACAATAATTATAGCTGTATAACTTTCATCAATAGCGATATAACAAAAGCTTAAAATATATCCGTATATTGCTTATGCATTGTAACAGCATGGTGAGGAGCAGTAATAAAGAAAAGGTATTAATGTTGTGTGTCAGATTTGTGAGATGTTTCGCTGTTTATCAAGTGTCTGCCCATTAGGTAGAGTTTAAAGCCACAACTTTCACACAGACACAATAATCTGTAATGTGTAAACTTCAAATAAATAATAATGTGTGACATTTATCCTGATAGTTATCAATATCATATGATGTGTGTATCTTTATGACATTCTTGGCCAGGTCGCCCAACCCTATATTAAAACATCTGAGTCATGTGTTGACTTGTTGCACTTTTGCTGCACAACTTGCACAGGACAGGTCTTCAGAGCTGTAGGCACCAGGTACTTCCTCATATGATGAAACTTGCACTGAGCTGGATGGTGAATCCTGCACACGGGGTAATATTTCAAGCTGTAATGATCACAGCTTTGGGGGGGTGAAAGTAATTATAGGTATGGTCGCAGTTTGTTGCTTCACTTGCAACGTGAGAAGAAAAAAACGCAAACATCTGCCTCGTTGTAGGTGCAGAGGAAACCTTTGATCCCACGTAAGCAAAATAGATCGTATAAAACATGTGGGATACTCACAAACTTCTTTTTCCCGTCTCCATCCTCGTAGTTCTTCTTTGACTTCTTGTCCTTCTTGGGTCCAGCAGCTGAGGCTGAGCTGCCCGTGGGTGGATCCATACTCAGAAATTAATCCTCGAATCGGTTGTCAAAATAAACCCGTGTGGCGGCGATCTCCACACACACAGACACACACTGACACAAAGACACTGTTGCCCCACACGGGGTTTTCTTCACTGTTAATTCACTTGGGCCTGTGCTAGTCCCCCCCTGGCTAACTTACTAGCCACAATTAGCACAGCGCTGCTAATGATTTGGTCGAGAGCCAACTACACCGAGCGAACCCCTTCTCTGAAACCGCCTGTCCGTCTTCCAGAAGGAGGGAAATTCAAAGCGCAGCCCCGGAGCCTCGAGACGAAAAGTACGAAAACAACCTGTTGAGTCAATACAACAAACACCGCGGACTTTCCTCATGCAGTGTCCTCAATGTAACACAACGCGAAGCTTTAACTATGTGAGGTTTAAATCCGGAAAATACGCGACTCCATATGAGCTAACGTTAGCTTTAGCTACGCTCGCTAGGTAGAGTAACAGAGCTAAAACAAAAAAAGACACACAAAAAACCCGCTCTTCTGACTTCCACGAGTTGTTTCGGTGACCACAACACAAGCAGCGAGTCGGCGTTAATGATAACTAGTCCCCACAGTGTCTCCCAAGTTAGTTTCCATGACTGAGGGAAGTTTAGTTAACTTTGTCTCCTCTGAGTGACAGAGTGAGATCAGCGGAGTCTTCCTGTTCCTCTCTGACAGAACCAGGGGGCGGAGCCACGAGCTCTGCCGCTTCACCTGAGAGGAGCTGCTCCGAGGCTGCAGCAGCAGGAAGCAAGATCACAGCCAGAGAGTGAAGCTGCTGCTCATCGTCCACATGTCAGGGAGTGTATCCTGAAAAACACCGTGACTGAATGTTTCCAAGCGTCACTGATCAATAAGGAGAATGACTGAACACTGCCAGACAGGAGAGCCCTGGACACACTCCTTCCTTTTTGTTGCATTTTACCTGTGTGAGGAAGGTTTTGCCTCAATCTAAACTAAATACACATCACGACCTTGAAAATGAACTCATGTAGCATCACTTGAGAGGATTTAATAGACTGCTCCCAGCATGCACCACCAGGGAGTAGCATCACAGCCAGAGGAGTAGACTGCTCATCATATCAGAGGGTTTACTTAGACTGTAGCCTAAGTGAATGTTTCTGAGGATTGCTGATGTAAAGACAGTTTGGGAGATATAGGGAGGAGAGCCTTGACCACGCTCCTTTCTTTTGCCACATTTTGCCTGAGTGAGATTCTGTCAAAACAAAATGCAGATCAAAGCTGCACATTGAAATTGAGCTGAGAGTCTCACTGCTGTTAAGATCTGCAGCACAAAGCAAGCGCACACTTACAAAAAAGACTCTGGGACTGGAACTGTTAGAGACAATGTTCTGGTTATAGTTAATTCTCAGGGAGTTGATACACTGTTTTGTGCAGAGAAACAATTTTGCAACATAAGTGACGCCGTTGCAAAGAAAAAAATGTAAGAAGCATGCTGCAGAGTGCATGTTCCACTCCAGAGTGACTTGTTCCTTTTTCAGTAAAATGTCGTTCTTAAGTTGAAGTTACCTCATTCAAGGCTAAATACAACTTTAGATGATAAATCCATATAGTTATTTTAAATGCTTCCACTCTGGTGTGACTTGTTTTTTAATTGACATTTCACACATTAAAATTTGGATTTCTGCATTAATTATTACAGACGATGTTTCAAATAAAGTCTGTCAGAGGTTACAAGCAAAGCGCATGTCTGTGTTTATTGGTTTTTATTTTATACATGATTGTCTGATGTCTCTGACTCAGACATTTGCATTCTCACATGCAGCCCCTTTGGATAATTTCTGAAGTTTATGTAGTTGGGGGTTGGCGGGAAATTGTTCTACTTGCCAAGGAGCGGCCCTGCAGAAAAAAAGTTTGGGAACCACTGACCTAGCAATGACGCAGGTTAATATTGTGTCACAATCTAGAATCTAAAATCTAGAAGATGAGATGAAGAGGAAAAAGACCTGTAAACAAAATGTCAGTTGATCAGTGCAATGGAAAGAGCCACCAGCAGCAGGCAGCACAGGCCAGTATCAGTGATCACTAACTGGCTTGGAGTTTTATATTAGGGGACTGGTCTCAGGTATTTGGTTGATGGTGCTATGGAATTATCAAGTTCCACGGCTTCTAGGTGTTTGAGTACAGCCGGTACTTCTTTACAAGGAACTTTAAGCAGTGGCTTAGGTAGTTTCCCAGATCTGTGTTAGATGAGTTCAAGGAGGAAAGCAGTGACACATACTGTTCTGCTTATTTAAAGTATTTCATGTGTTGAAGAAGCTCTCTACAAACTGTAGTGTAACCTCCCATGTTGCCATTGCCACTCTTTCTCTGCTGGTGATATAACAAGTTACACAAAGCTTATCTATGTGACTCAACTTTCTGTCCTTGACCTTTAGGTTCTTATATGGGATCGACATTTGCTCATATATATATACGGCTGCACATTCCAAGACATTACACGAGTCATTTCTCTCATCTCTTATTTCCGGAAATGAATCAGCCATTTGAGTGTAGGTGAGACCTCAACTGTGCAAGTGCTACAATTATTAGTATAAAAATGTAGATCAATATAAGTCATTTTCTCCTCCTTATTTAACTATTAATACCAGTGACAGTACCTAATTTGTGTCTCTGTTTAGTGCAGGTACATTTTTTTGGTATCTCGTGATGGTGATCTTTTAAATTGTATTTTAAACAGTTAAAATGGAGTGTGTATACAAAAACATCATCATTCAGGCGCCACCGAGCGGTTAAATTATGAACAGCAGGTGCTGCAGTTTCAATGGAGTTGAGACAACGCGTCAACCAAAGTTTATGTACAAATATGAAGCGCGTGTGTGTTTTAGACTACAACTTTATAATGTTCTCTAAAATGACTTGTTTGCATTTACAAATGTGAGGCATATACATTGGTTGGGAGTTATAACTGTACAAAGGAATATTGAAATTGCTTATAAATAGCAATTGCAGCAATTGACTGAATGAAGAAGACATGAAGCATGTTTTCTGAATGTGCGGAATAATTGATCAGGAAAAACTAAAAACAGCTTTTAGACGGTCTCAGTCCTTTTGTGCAAACACCATGGGACATTGTGTCCTTCTGTCTGCCTCCAATCTGCACAGTGTTCTCAATGTCAATCTCCAAATGGGATCGTTCATCTCCAACGTATCTAGGGGTCAACTTTATAAATGACCCAAGAATTTTTCTGCCTGTGATCCCTTGACTTGATGATTTCTGTTCAGTGAAAGGCAGGGTTTTTCTTACCTCACACACACACACACACACACACACACACACACACACACACACACAAACACACACAGGATTACAGAGATAGGCTCATCTATCTGTCCTGGCATGTGAGAAGTGTTTTCCAACAACAAGATTGGGGAGGATTTGCGCATCACCTGTGGCAGCAGACAACAGTTTGGTTTATCGCACAGGACTCGTCATATGTTGTGGTTTTTTTCTCCTATTCTAGCCCCGAGTCATTCTCCGGATATTGGTGCTGTAAATTGTGCGAGAGGTTAATTAAGAGCTAAAGTGCACGATAAGGCCGGCAGCCCTATGGCTCTCATATAAACACCTCTGCGGACGCAGTCTATTAAATGATTACCAGTTGGCCTTTCACACCAGCAGCTGCAGCATCACCATCCACATACAGACCAGAAAGACTTCAAAAGTACATTTAAATACCTTTATGTGACGGTATAGGCCTACAGTCTGTCATTTAATCCATTTAATCACCATTTTACAGTATGGGAGATTGTGTGTTGATTGCATCATTTCACAAGACAAGACAGGTAAGTTACAGGCATACAAAACGTTATATATACAAACTGAAGATTCTCTCTGCGCTGACATAGCCTGTCACTTTGCTTTGGGAAATGAAAGTGATTCATTTTGTCAGGGCCAGTGGGAAATTCCATGGATTTGCATTCAAACTGCAGGAGACAGGTCAGATAAGCCACTATGTATATAGATGAATGAGTAGAAGCTTGTGAGTGGAAGCTACATCAGGGAGTAAACTGTTTATTTCCAAAGTGCTTTGCGGGGGTTGCAGTGGATGATGGATGGTTTCACAATTCGTTCATTAATTACCAGAAAATATAAGAGTCATAAATTTAATCAAGAGTTAAATCATCTTTCCAGCGGCAGCAGGCCCACGCACACCAGTCATCTTCTGAGATGCCTCCTGTGGTCTGAAGGGGGCTGTGGGTCTTGAAGTGGAAACATTTGGGCAATATTTGACACAGTTGAGTCCCTCACTCATCATGTTAGGTCTGGATGGGGATTCCTGTTTATTTAGAGCATCACATGTGTCCAAGACAACTCATCAAGGCAACTACCCCATGCAGGCACACAAGTCAGTCCTGAAACTCCCCCAAAGGGCCACAAGTCCCACTGGTCTATCCTAGCGGGTCCAGCCTTACTTGTAGGAGGTCCGGGCCTCTCTCAGCGACCTGTCATATGGCATGGAGGCGAAGAAAGAGTTCCGCAGTTGGCAGTTGATGAAGAACACAATGAGCAGCACCAGCAGGAAGAGCAGTAGGCACATGACTATGTAGGTGGTCAGGTCCGGTTTGTGGAGCTCGCCCTCCCGCAGCCCTCCACCACCTCGCCCCGAGGTGGGTCGCAGGAGAGCGGCCACGCTCACCGAGCCGCCGTGGGAGGCGTTCAGGGAAGAGGGGGCTTGCGTGGAGGACTGGGCCATGAGCACCAGGTCGAAGTCCGGGGTGTCGGTGGAGTTGAGGAGGATCTGCCTCAGCATGGCGCTCTGAGGGCTCACCGGCTGCGTCGGACGGCTGCAGGGCGACAAGACAAGGGGGAGATTATGTAGCCAACTGAGCCTGTGTGTGTTCAGTCTGTGCGTCCTATCTCAACAACACCGATTAAAATGCATCAGAAGTGATTCAGGTGCGAGGATTGTAGAAACATCCAAGGACTATTGCCACAAAGAACACCTTAATGTCTCGCAAGGTCACTGATAAACC